AAAGTAAAANGTTATTTTTAGGTGGTGAGTGGATTGTATTCGGTTTTTTCTACTCTAATTGAACTGACCGGTGTTCATCGAAATAAAATAAGCTCTGCTGAATGCTTTCTAAATTATACCTTTAAGAATAAAACAATTAATTGAAAGTTTTCATACCGGCAAATGTACTTTCGTACTATTTATGTACGACGGCCATTAATTTTTACTGAAGAAGTACGAAAATTTCACTGTTAATCCGTTAGTGACTGACAAATTACGTGTTCTAACAGATTTATAAACAATACTTTTAGCAAGAAATTCGACGAAATAAAGTAAAAAGATTACTGTTTGTATAGAACAGTGAATGTAAGGCCTTTTTTTCAGTGATACTGTCTCCAAAACTACTAATATAATCTGGATTGCAGGCTATGTTATATCTTAGTGCTGCAGTTTAAAGCCCACAAATCTGACTCAAAACTCGCAGCTGACCAATTGAGATGGACAATTTCGATATGTCAATGTGGTCGAAAGAATTTTCATAATCGAAGGTAAAAATGTATTTGTTACAAACACAGTTGGCCAAATACTCGAATATTATAAGATTTCATGCAGTGCTGAAAACATTGATAACTATAACGAAATTAGAATACCTTTAAACTCGAGTTGTGCAGACTTACCAATTCAAACTGGATTCCGAATAGGGTCAATCATCTTTAAGTTTATCGAAAAAAATTAAAATTACAGGAAAAAATTATAAATTATTAAAAAACTTATAGAAAGTTAGAGATAATGTATTAATAATTTTAATATGCGCATCCTTTACTGAAATTCTTTCTGAAGGATATATTAATCGTGTTAACGTAATAGTTTGTTTTATTCTATAGTTTGAAAACATGTCAGATATTTAGTATTGTGTAAACTACTTAGAATAAGAATAGACATACATAGAACAGTTATGTACAGTATATATAGTTATATGAAAAAAAACACTGAATTAATTTAGATACATTTGCATGCATTAATATATTGCAAAAATTTTTAGTAATTTTAGAATGATTCGCGTGCTCACTTTTAATAAATAATGAAACAAATTTAATGGATTTATTTTAATAGCAGAGTTTTGTTATGAATTAACTCTTAAAGCAAACAATTCTTATCGTGAATACAATAGTACTAAAATAAAAGTGAAAATAAAAAGTTTTACGTCTCTATTTTTTATCCTTTTAATAAATTTTTATCTGATATGTTTTGTTCTACTTTATTATACGAAATAATAACAGGTATAATATAACGCTTCCAGTGTGAAACTACTTGGTAAAGAAAAACACGTAATAGAATATAGTAGTTGTAAATAAAAGTCATTAAATTTCAGAATTTGAAAAAAAAGTCGGTATAATATTCTGTCTTATATAGGAAATTAGTTTTTTAATTTAAAAGTATAAAATTTAATTAATTAATGTAGAAATGTAAAATGTATATTCCTTCATTATTTACAATTTATACTAAACAGATATACTAGTGCAACTTTCTATTGGATATTCTCGTACTGTAAATCATTTTAGATTTTAAAATTTACATATTCATAGATTGTTCTAATCGAAAAAATTGATAACATCTACTACATAAGTAATGATTCAATCAAAAATGTTACTTCAGATATTTCGATATTTCGTATTACGATTACCAAAATTATATCAAGACATAAGAAGACAGCAATATATATAAAAGCATATGTTGTAGACGAACAAGCAGTAAATATGAGAGAAAACTCTATTTTTTTGAATTTATCAAATATCTGCCAAATTTCTCAAAGAGTATTTTATCAGTTCTTCAATAAAAGTTGCAACTGAATAAAAATATTTATCAACGTTTTTCATATAAATAAGAAAAAAAAATTACAGGAAATAGAAGTTTACCAACTACGTTGGAAGCAACGTAATTAAGCCACAGTTCGATACTGAAAACACAAAGACATTTTATAATTGTGATGTGTTGAGTGGAAAGCAGAATAACGAATGTACGAAGTTTTTTTGGAGCAACTTGGGCTGTGTAATCGGAGTCGAAGTCATGGAGTTTTGTCATAATTTAAAAAATGAAAAGTAAAACTCGTCTCTATTCTCAAAGTAAGCTTTTTTGTCATTTTATAATAGTACAGTAAAACTAGTTAAGAAGTTCTCGCCTACGGTTTTACAATGTGTATGAGGACACGATTTAGTTCAACCACTCTGACGCTTAATAAACCACTTATTTGTTAAACCATCTGACTCCGATTCTGACCACTCTGACCACAGAAATTATTAGGCTTCAAAAAACGTGAACAAAAACATTTTACCCTCACACAGTCTAACATTTACACATACAGAAATACCTCGAGTCTTTTGCAAATCTCAAAATTTCAAGGTGTCCCGAGTACAAAAATGTAAGAATTGGGGAGGAGTCATTTTTTGACCGAGCGCTGCATTTTTCCTCTGTTATATATAACAGCCGGAAAAGTAAAAATTATTGAATACATATTTATATATTACTTGAATAAGTCTTTTAGTTTTAAAATTAAAAGTTTATATGCTTTCTTTATAAAAACTTAATTTAGTGGAACTTTTATTCTGAGGTCAAGTGATAACATTAAAAATTCAAAATATCTTTCGGTATCAAGCCCACCCCTGGTCGGAAACGGAGTCGTTAAATTTTTACGCGACTTCACAGCCCTGGGAGCAACCTACGAAAATACCGTAACTTGGATTGATGTTAATCTTTGATTTAAACTTAGTTAAATCTTAATCTTTTGATTTAAACTTGATTAAATCTTAATAATTGGTTTAAACTTGTTTAAACCTTAATCTTTTGATTTAATTTTGATGAGATCTTAATCTTTTAGTTTAAAATTGGTTTGTTCTTAATCTTTGGTTTAAACTTCTACATATTTCTACAGACATATATACTATTTTCCAATAATTTCAAATATATTTTTCGTTCATTAAATCAATTATATAATTGTATATTTAATTGTAACATTTGCAAACACGATAATCTCCGAAAGAACGTAACTAGGATTTTACAAGGCCCATTGTCCGTAAATTAGCTACATCTCAGAATAGTCAGGACGAGCTTAGAATTTTGGAATTTTGCAATTCGGGAAGTGCATTCACTTAGCTCGTTGTGGACTCATTTTAATTGCTTTTCACTGAAACTGATTATACATTAGAAACAAAATGAATAAATGATTTAATTTCAAAGAATATACATATTTTTCACTATTGTACAAATTTTTAAATTAAATAAAGGTAAACCTAATTTGAACAATTTTGTAAATTGTAATGTAAGAAAATATTACATCACTTTGGTGAAGAAACGAATGTGACAAACGTATTTAAAATTTAACTTAATTATCGAAATTTTTCGATTTATTACTAGTAATGACTAACTTAATCCCAATACCTAAATTATCTAAAAAGATTTTTTATTCATAACGACGTGAAAAGAATAACGTGAAAACAAGCATGAACACTTTTATTTTTCCAGTACCTAGATGATAATAGCAGTTAACAATAACTCATTTGTGGTAAGAAATTACAAAAAATCTGTGTTGGGAACAATGAAAATATTTGCAACATTCTGAATATACACATATGTTACACGTGCATACTAAGTAATTAACTTAGTACCGGCTGTAATATATTAAATAATATAAATCGAAACCGAGAGAAATCTCTAAGCGATTCGTGTTCAAATAGAAAAAGTTAGCTCATAGAAATTCTAATAGTTTCTTCTTCAAGCAAGTGATTAAAATAAAGTGTCTGTTGTATATGTTTATGTTTAATGACGTAACAAAATTAGTTTAATATCGACATCTAAATTTATATTTTAGGTTAAAATACAGAGTATAGAAATTATTCTTGAGACGGTTATATTACAAAACCGACAAACACTAATTTTTATTTATAAATATGAGAACTAAACATTATCCTAATAAAAGATATTTCTGAAGAGTTTCATTTATAAAACAGTCGAATTCTGTTTCTTATTAGAAATAGTCCATTGTTCTTATACAAAACATAAGCTTTTTATCTTTCTATTATGGAACAACTTGTAACACTTGTACAAATTTCCTATGCACAGTTTCAATTTATGAGTCAATATAACATTTTAAAAATTGAGCTCAGAATAAATACTTAAACTAATATAATATAATATATTCGAATTTCGTCAGAATTCAAAATGCTTTGAACATTATAGTTAGTATAATCTAGGTTTTATGTTAAACTTATGGTTAAAACTTGGTTTCATCTTAATATCTTAATTAAAACTTGTTTGATTTTAATCAACTGGTATAAACTTAATGTTAATCTTTTGGTTTAAAATTGTTTGATCTTGATATTTTAGTTTAAATTTGGTTTGATCTTACTTCTTTAATTAAAACTTGGTTTAATTATTATCTTTGGTTTAAACTTGGTTTAATCCGAATTTTTGGTTTAAACTTCGTTAAATTTTAATCTTTGGTTTAAACTTGGTTTGATCTTAATTTAAGGTTTAAACTTGATCAAATCTTCATCTTTGCTTTACAAGTGGTTAGATTGTAATCCTTTTGTCTAAACTTGGATGGATCCTTATCTTTCGGTTTAAACTTGATTAAACTTTCATCTTTTGATGGATTCTTGGTTAAATCTTAATCTTTCGGTTTATACTTGGTTTGATCTTAAGCTCTTGGTTAAAACTTCTTTGATATTATTTCAGAATATTTTAAACACGGGAACAAGAAAAACCTTTTTCCTGCAAAAAAATGTTCGTCGAGATGAATGCGCAAATATATTCAATGTTTGAAAACGCCCTTGGATCTCTATACCTCAGCTTTAGTTGTACAGATTTCAATAAAGTTAACAGGAGATATTTACACGCGTTTAGTGGCAGCAGAGTAAAATATCTTCACCTCAACAGAATTACTATTTCAAAATATAATTCGGTAAGTGGAAATTTATTTGGTGTGAATTTTGATTCTTAATACAACATTAATCATCTGTTTTTTACATATTACAGACAGATGGCGAATTGTTATGTTTGCACAGGTTATTTCCTCATTTGTCAGAACTAAATATGGTGCATACTCACATTGGATTGTGTTTTCACGTATGCAAAGAAATCAGCAATCTTACAGGTTCGTTCTCAAAAATCATACTATTCATCTATACAACTTAGATAAATATTTATTCTGAAGTAATATTGTCACAGAGTTGAAGAGTGTCGCTTTGTCTGCGTGCTTGGCAACGAATATTTGTTGTGAAAGAGAGAGAAATCAAGAAAAAACGGTTAGTAAAACATGATTTTGGAGTATTATTTCATATTTTATAATTATAATAATAATTATTAAAACTTTAGTCTCCACTATGGATCGTAGCAAAGAAGTGTTGTAAGCTAAATAAACTAGAAATATATGGATGCCAGCGGTGCAAGAGTCATTCAACCAGGTATGGCTGCTCTTATTGTTTTAGAAGAAAGTTATATCGAGAATTTGATTTGTACAGTTCTATTAGGCATATAATAATTTATTTCGTTCTCTATGTCGAATAATTGTAAGCATTGTCTGGTAAAGATACTTCAATGTAAATNTTCACTTGAATCATATTTTTATTATGTGTATCTATTACTAGACAAAACGTAATTTGACTTAGGTTACAGTAAGTGATAAATTAATAATATTAATAATTAAAACTTTAGTCTCCACTATGGATCGTAGCAAAGAAGTGTTGTAAGCTAAAGAAACTAGAAATATATGGATGCCAGCGATGCAAGAGTCATTCAACCAGGTATGGCTGCTCTTATTGTTTTAGAAAAAATTTATATCGAAAATTTGATTTGTACAGTTTTATTAGTCATATAATAATTTATTTCGTTCTCTATGTCAAATAATTGTAAGCATTGTCTGTTAAAAATACTTCAATGTAAATGGATAGGTAAGTAAGCCAATGAAATGGTTGTGAGAATGAACACGAGGGGACCGAGCCCTCTAATCGTCGAGTTGGTAAAACTCGCCCACTTTGTCTTTCTGTCGAGTGGGTTGGGAAAGACGACAGTTGTGCGTTCGAGCAATGATAAACAGGTTCACAAGTTAAATCTATATTCGGGTGTGAAAAAAGAAAAATTATATTTCCGATGGCGATAAAATTATCTCTAAAAATCTCGCTTCGATGGGAACTGTCTACCCCTCATTTCTTCTCTTTCCCATCCGTTCACGTAGATAAAGCCTCGAATGATAATTGGTCGTAAATCCGAAGTTATAGGCGAAGTTCAGCCGAATTCGAGGCGTTCATCAATAGATCCCAAAATGAGAAGGACGAAGTCCGAATAGACTCCAAAAGGCCAACGCCCTATGCTATAAGCAATACAGTATACAATAGCTTACGTCCATAGACATAAATATTCTCAGTTAAGTGATACAGGCGTAACAAATTACTCTGTACCCCAGGCTGATTCTTACATTAGATTTCATTTTTATTATCATATCGTCCTACATACGTAAAAGTGTTCATTCTTGTTTTTGTTCTAAAGTAAGTTTTTATCTGACCCTTTACATGTTGGAATGACATAAATCCGAAGTTTGTATCTAAGCTTGTCCTTACAATTCTGAAGTGTATCGATGTTACAGAGAATAATCCTTGTTAACATATAGTTACGTGCCATTGGGGAATTATCGTGTTCGGAAATTTCTACGGTTAAAAAATTATATTAATAATTGNATATATTTAACCCTTAACTGGTTTTGTGGGGGCTGCGCGGCCCCCAAGCGTCATATTTTTACGATTTTCTAAAAATCTAAGCATCGTGCGCAGCTGCCATTTTATGTAATCTCATTATGTCGCAACTTTTAGCGAGTGCCAAACTTTCGGCCCTGTAGCACTTACCAGGGTGGAAGCTACGTACCTTCTGGGGCTGCGCGGCCCCCACGATACCAGTTACATTGGTTTTTTTTTGTGGAAATGTGTTTTTATGTGTTTATTTATTTGTACAATTATTTTGCAAAGATATCTCAACCTTGCATAGAATTCAAATTTACTACCAAAGAATCATTTGAACTTCTAATAAAGGATAATATTATACAAATTACTAGATCAAGCCGAAATCTCCTGAAAAGAGTATGCTGTCATTTTGTGCAGGAATAAAAGATAGTAAATATGCTACTAAGTGCAACAGTTGTTTGAAATTTATTGGCAAAGTGCATAGTACTACAAAAATACTATGTGATAACTGTCAAGACTGAACTACGTAATTGCGTTAAAATGTTCCTGAGTCTTAAAAATAAAAGTGATTATATTACCTGTGGATTTTTAACAAGTGATAGTTAGAGGCTATAAGAGTTACTTTTTTGTAAGATTAGTTTCTTAAGAATAAGAAAAAACATTACTTTTGTTAGTAACTTACAATAGGGTAGATTTTCATATTGTTGAAAAAAGCAAACATCAAAAGTTAAAACAATTTTGTGATCTCTTGTAATAATCAAATAAAAAAATTATATGAATAAATAATAGTTTATTATACTAAACAGGGGTTCCATTTAGCATTTATGCACTTTTAAACTACACATTGTTCAAATTTGCTCTCTAGAGGCAAATTTTGCTTGGGAGCTGCGCAGCCCCCACGATACCAGTTATGATTGTAAAATTTACGAAACCAGTTAAGGGTTAAGAATTTATATGAATAAATAATAGTTTATTATACTAAACAGGGGTTCCATTTAGCACTTATGCACTTTTAAACTACACATTGTTCAAATTTGCTCTCTAGAGGCAAATTTTACTTGGGAGCTGCGCAGCCCCCACGATACCAGTTATGATTGTAAAATTTACGAAACCAGTTAAGGGTTAAAAATTTACGACCACTGAGCAGGGTGAAACAAAAAATGTTATGCATTTTATCACGTACATAAACAGTGTCGTTATTCGCAAAGTGCAAATCAGCAAATTCGTAAAATTTTTGTTTATTCAATTCAGATAATCGGGAATCCGGATAATAGAAGTCTGGATAATGAAGGTTCTACTGTATTTAATACATAAACAGTGTCGTTATTCGTAAAGTGCAAATCAGCAAATTCTTGGAATTTTTGTTTATTCAATTCGGATAATCGGAAATCCGGATAATAGAAGTCCGGATAATAAAGGTTCTACTGTATTTAATAAATAAGTAAAAAATATATTTTTTATAATTATTATATTGAATTATTTCGCTATTTTATTTTGTCTTATTGCTATAATATTATTTTAAGTTGTCGTGTGTTAAATTACTTGGATATTAGAAGGAATTGTAAAAATTATTATTGCAAAATAATAAATTTGATAATTAGAAAGAATATATTAAACTTTCCTTATTGTTAAAATAAAATTAATTTAATTAAGATTTGTGATCGAAAAATTAATTTTTCAGTCTGACCCAAACCACTACTACTCTGGTAAATATATCAGATATATTCTTTTAATATAATATTGTATATCTACGTTTTCATAAATTTTATATCTATTTGCATTTCCTAAATCGAAAAGCTATTAGTTATTGATCGGAAAGTTTTATGACATTTATGAAATTGAATTTATATAAGATTTAAGTTTCATAATCACAATGATTACACCAGGAAATTAATCTAAAAGACCGATAAATTGGCTTCTATTTAAAGCAGAGATGCAATTTATTACAATCAATTCAATATAATTTCTTCGTAATTATTTCATGGTATTCAATTACGTTAATCTCGATAATTGTCTGATNTTTTAATACCTTCAATTCTATTAGGTCTTTGAATCTCTCATTAGTTATTGTTTCTTTTTTTGAGATTTTGCACGATCTTCTTAATGCATCCATTTCAACCGTTATACACATATATAATTCTTCACTCCACCATACTCTATTTAATTTTTTAACCGCTTTCTTATTTATGCTAATTTTGTATTATTTTCCAATGTATCTCTTCCATCTTGATGAATTTGTATTACAAGATAATTGTGATGTTAACATCTTTCAAACTTTTCTCCTTCCTTCATTTTTGTGTCTGTTTTAGCCTCACCTATGCACAAATATATTGTTTCACTAGTGTTAATATATAAGCCTCCTCTAAAATATTCTTGTTTTATTTTTATTGTCATGTACTTTAGTTTATCCTTATTATCATTTGATCATTTGAAAATTGCAATGTAAATATTGGTGTATTGTTAATATTTGTTACCATATCATAACATTTGCTTTTTCATATTTTTTATACTTCTTTTACTTAGATTTTAAATGAAGTTGGTGACATACAACATTTCTGTCTTAGTCCTTTTGATACCATAAATCCTTCTGATTTTTTCCCCAATATTTCCCAATAATCTATATAATTCTTTAACTGCTTTAATATTCGTAATCGTCATAGTTTCCAAAAGAAACATAGTCCAAACAAGGGTTGAGTTAAATAGACTCAATACTACCTGAGCAGATTTAAATATAAATTGAATTGTATAAAAGTTTGAAATATTTAAAATGCGAGTGAATTTTACAGTTTTACCGTTGAATAAATTTACAATGAATGAAATTTTATTACAGTTCAATTTATCGTCTCGACACTTTGTAGTGTTATTGTTAGAGTACAACAATTATCAGACGATTATCGAGACAAACGTAATTGAATACCATAAAATAATTACGAAGAAATTATACCGAATTGATTGTCTAATAAATTGCATTCATGCTTTAAATAGAAGCCTATTTATCGATCTCTTAGATTAATTTTCTGTTGTAATTATTGTGATTATGAAACTTAAATCTTATATAAATTCAATTTCATAAATGTCGTAAAACTTACTGATCAATGGCTAATAGCTTTTCGATTTAGAAAATGCAAATGGAAATAAAATTTATGACAACGTAGATATACAATATTAAATTTCAAGAATATATCTGATATATTTATCTGATATGGTTTAAGTGGTTTGGGTCAGACTGATCAGAAAATTTATATTTCGATCAGTCTGATCAGAAAATTTATATTTCGAATGTTCAATATATTTCTTCTAATTATCAAATTTATTATTTTGTAATAATAATTTTTACAATTCGTTCTAATATCCAACTAAATTAAAACACGACAACTTAAAATAATATCATAGAATAAGACAACGTGAAATAGGAAAATTGGTTAATATAATAATTATAAAAAATATAATAAAGTTATATTTTTTACTTTTTTACTAAATACCTACTTATAGAATGTATTGATTTTAAAAATATTTTTTCTTTTTTGTTTAATTAAGAATTGTTCGTAAGATAAAATATCGCAAAGAGAACAATGCAGTTTTAAAACAGTTTTTTTATCTGTTTATATTTAAATAAAAATTATTCATTATACGTTGTGAAATAATTTAATAAGTTTTATAAATTACTGTGTTTGATTCAGCCAGGTACGATGTTTTTTGTTTATTAAATTTAATACATTAATTTTTTTTCTAGTAAAATTGACTTGACATTGATCTTTTGTTACAGCTTCTATAAGGCTGTGTAATGTTTTTATGGCCAACTGTTGATAAATAATTTCACTTGAAATGCTTCAAAATCC